TGTATATGTGTATATGTGTACCAGGACTGGGGCTTGGACTTAGGGCCTCTCCATTTTGCTTGCCTTTTTTGCTCAAGGCTGGCCTCTAACATAAAAGCTCTACTTTTGGCTTTTTGCTGATTAATTAGAGGTATGAGTTTAATGGACTTTTCTGTGTGGGCTGGTTTTGAACTGTGATCTTCAGATCTCAGACTCTTGAGTAGCTAGCTTTACAGGTATGAACCACTAGTGCCTACCCTAATTAGAATTTATTTTTCTTTTCATAATTGGATGGGAGATGTGCCAGCACTTGGGAAAACAAGTGCAAGTATTGGTGAAATCCTCATAGGAAAGTCACAGTGAACATATATCAGTCTGATATCAGATATGAGTGTTTTGAGTCTCAAGAAAGACTGAGATAAATTGCCATAGTTGTACATTAGGGTCCAGATAGCAAATACATAACTATAATTGTTGCTGGTAATTTACAGGTACACCTGTGAGAAATATTCTGGAGACAGATGGGATGAGAGGTAGAAGGAACCCTTCCATTGAATGAGATGCTTGGTGAGGGATGGAAGAATGACATGATATTGTGACCCTAGACTTACCATTTTCTTTTCTTCCTGCTTCTCTGCACAGGTGCAATGCCATACTTACACGGGGTACTGCTGGTGTGTCACCCCAGATGGAAAGCCCATCAGTGGCTCTTCTGTGCAGAATAAAACTCCTGTATGTTCAGGTACCGTAGAGAGGGGCGGGGAGGATGTGACAAGGTTGGAGAGAGACCTCTTGGTTGTTCTCTGCATCTTATGGGGGAACCTTTGGAAGGTTAGGTGGTAGTTTTGGGTTCTTTTCCAGGTCAGGGGGATTCTAATCTACCGCATTTCCTCAGTAATCAGCTGGGTGAAGAGAGTCTATATGTGTCTACAAGTGTACATTAAAACATTTTTTACAGGTTACATTTTTGGTTCAAGACTCCTTTCCTAAGCATTGAAACTCTTAGAGTTAGGATGGGATACCATTTTTTAGCTTGTATGATGACTGATAGATTTAGAGATGACATGGGACTTTAGCCTCAAAGGTGTAGCAGTCGATTAGTAATGTCTCTCATGGGCACAGGATAGGCGTCTCTGTGCCATAGATTTGTTACCCCTGAATAATGTAATGGAAAACTTTTTCATAATAGCGATTCTTAAACCTAGCTGATTATCAGAAGTGTCTTGAGAGCTAAAAGCCAGATGTCAAAACTCTTCCTTGTATATTCTGTCAGTTGATCTGCAGTAAGACCTGAAGTCCTTATTTCTATGGGGTTTTTCAGGTAGTTCTGATGATTAGATAAATTAGCTAATCTGTAGCACAAAGGAAATCTTATCTATTTTCAACTTTATCAGTAAAAAGGAGCGTTGCTATTTGGTCAGTTTTAAGGGATTGAGGATTATGGATTTACGTAAACCCCACACCTCTATTTATTAGTAAGGGATTCATGAGCCACTCCTCTGAATTCACTCTGTAGCTCAGCCCTTATTCCAAAAAGCCCATCTCATCCATCCAGGGCTTCACAGTTATCCACATTGGTGTTTGGCAGGCTTTATTCATTTACTTTTTTTAAGTACAAAGTATACAACACTATGTTAAAACCTATGGAAAATAATCAAAGGCCCAAAGTCTTAGTGAAGTCTTACTTCTTTTTTTCTACTGGCCCATCTATATCCAGGGAAAAGTAAGTAGAAAGAGCAATAAGAATGTATGTTAGGAAACCAAAATTTACAGACCAAAAGGAAAGTTTACTTTATTTGTGGACTACATGGAAACTGGAAACCTTAATTGGGGTTGGAGTGGGGAAGGACAGGAATTAGCCCTCCTTGTAAGTGACCTGGAAAGTTTCATTTAAAACAAACAAATGAAGCTGGAAATAAGCGACACAGGGTAATATAGTGCATTGCTCACAAAACTAGTAGATAGAGTAAGGCTATTATATGTATCTGAAAAATACTGATTCTCTCTTTTCTTTTGGTGGGACCTCCACAGATGGCTTTCTGTAGGTGATTAGTTTTGCCCTACATGTGTGAAGTTGGGATTCATGGAAAAAGACAGGTGACATGGAGTCAGATCTGGAGGATGGGTACATACGGCATCCAAGTACATACAGGACAAATGTTTGGCCCAAAACACATGCTCCCCACTCTTTGAGGAAGGGGCTGTGTGCTGAAAATTGTTTCCATGCCTCAGACTATTTTGGCCCATTCAGTACAATTGGGCCAACAATTTTCTCCTTAATGCAGATGGAAAATTGCTGATTTCCTGCCCTAACCAGCAAGGGATGTCAATCAATGTATTTCTAGTATGAAGGGGTTTCTTTTCAGTTGGCCCTGCTGACAGGATATGGGTTAGAACATGGAGTTGGTGAGAAGTGGGGGACTCAGGAGGCCTGGAGCTAAGGAGCAGATATTGGAATGCTCAGCAGGGGAACTAATTGTATGTGGAATATTGTAAAAGCTTAGTCAAGACCATTGCCAGGGAACCTGGAAATCATAGTTCATCTCAAAACAGTGCTGGGATATCAGTGACATTGATGTTAAACAAACCCCAACTCGACATGTACGTATGTACCAACTGTGTATATAATAGCCCTGGATGTGTATACAATACTTATATACATGGCCATATGCTCACCATGTCAGGCTTTGCCAACTCTTTGAAAAAAGCCAACCACAGTGCATTCTGAATGGCTGTGTTTCTGTTTCCCTTCTCACCCAAGGTTCAGTCACCGACAAGCCCTTGAGCCAGGGTAACTCAGGACGGAAAGGTGAGTGGAGTTTTATGCTTTATCCAAATGTTTGTTTCTACAGCTAGTCCATGCAGGGGCTCTTACACGAGATACAAAGAGCTCCACAGAAAAGTCATCTCCAATCTCCATCCTTCTTCCCTCCCAGAAGCATTGGAGGTGAGTAAGGTTCCCAGGGTAGTGGCCATCAAGATCTTAGAATGTCCAAGGGAGGAGAGAGAAGTGTGTATGATCTCTGAGAATCCAAGCTCCCTGGGGATTCAGTAGGTCTATTCCAGAGGATGATGCAGGTGGGACACCCATCTCTGCTCTTGGCTCTTTTGTTTGGTCAGTTTTTATTTGAGTGCCCCCCGCCACCTCCATGGAGTCTCCTTAATAATATGCTCCAGTGCATCTAGAATCTCCTCACCAAGGCCAGGCTGGCTTCATGGATGTACAGCGTGTGAAACTGTTTTCCTCATATTTGGAATCACATTGCTTTGAGGCTGAGCAGGCGCAGAGATCTGAGCATCTACCACCAGCCCTGATATCCAGTCACATGTGGGTGGGCTTCCATAGCCCATGTTAGGTTTTTTAAACTCTCCTCTATCCAGAACAACACCAAATACCAAACTAAAAACCACTATAGTTAGTCAAGAGCCAGAAACTGTGTACAAGAGGGTAAAGCTTTTTGTTTTAGTACCTTTAATGCCAATTTTCTTCCTTTTTTTGTGTTATGTGTGTGCTAGTCCCAGGGCTTGAACTCAGGGCCTAGGTATTGCCCATTAGCTTTTTTTTTTGCTCAAAGCTGACACTTTGCCATTTAAGCCACAGCTTCACTTCTGGCTTTTTACTAGTTAATTAGAGAGAAGAGTCTCTTGGACTTTCCTGGACTGGCTTTGAGCCGCAATTCTCAGATCAGCACCCTGAGTAAAGGCACCTAAGTTAGGTGCATTTTGTACAAAGGGGCCCACACCTTCCTTTTATATATGGTGCCCCACAAGTTGTATAACTGGTATTCCTTCCAGTGCTGCTCAAAGGGCCAACAATAGGTACATGGGATTTGCTACCCACCATTTCCAGTGTGGCCCGAGGTTGACAGACAACTGGTGGTGGCATGGAAGTCCGGTATCCATCGCATTGCATGTTCAGGCACTGGAGAGCTACTATCTCAGGCTGAGTCTGCAGCTTTCTACCTGTACTTTAAGTTGGAATTGCTGAAGATGAACATGAAGGCCACAGGCTTGTCCTTCACAGGCAGTTACAGGGAGACAAGGTACGCTGGGCTTGTATCATGGGGATAGGAAGAAAAGGAAAAGCTATCCATTCTGAGTGCAGGAATTAAGACTCTGGAGAACCTCTTGTCCTGAAATGCATGTGCTCCAAGAAGGCGTGAAGGTGGGATCCTGCCACCCCTGAGAAACATGGACCCAAAGACCAGGTAGGCAGCTGTTCTTCCTCTTGTAGGATGCATGTGAAGGTGAAAGAAAGACCTTTTCCATACCTTTCCCAGAGCAGGAGAAGACCTGCTGGTGGGTGAGCTAGAACCTAGAACAACACTAGGTAGCAAATTGAAAACCACCCTGAAAGCCAGGCACTGATGGCTCACGCCTATAATCTTAGTTACTCAGGAAGCTGAGATCTGAGGATCACAGTTTAAAGCTAGCCCAGGCAGAAGTCCATGAGACTTAGCTCTAATAAAACTAATCAGAAAAAGCTAGACGTGGTACCATGGCTCAAGTGGTAGAGTGCTAGCCTTGAGCACAAAGAGGCTCAGGTGCCCATGCCCTGAGTTCAAGTACCAGGACCAGCAAAAACAAAACAACCCCCCCCCCAAAAAACCCACCGTGAAGTGAGGTAAGCCAAGATCAGAGACAAGACACATGTTTTCTCTCATCTGTGAAAACTCAATCTAAAATACCCTGGGGCATGATAAATTATACAGGACTCTAGATACTCCCATGCAGTGAGACCAAAGGAGGATACCCTTAGGGGAGGGACACAAAGACTCGGTGTCTAAGTGCTTCCAATCATATAAAATACTATAGCTAGAAACGAACTCAAAGCAATGGAAAAGAAAACAAAACAGCGACAACAAAATGACAAGTTGAGAGAAATGATGTAAGTGGCCCGGTGGCTCCCACCCCTCTGGGACCGTGGAGAAGGCTCAGGAAAGTATCTGCAAAGGCTAGCAGTGGATGTGTGTCTGTAGGCATTGGAAGCAGGAGCTGCCTTCAGTTTTGATTACAGCAGCATATTTTCCCCAATTATTTTTTAAAATGGTCATTATAAAGGTGATGCACAGAGGGGTCACCATTTCATAAGTCAGGAAACGAGTGCATTTCTTTTTGGATAATGTCACCCCTCACTTCCCTCTCTTTCAGTTTTTCCCTCCCACCACCACCCACAAGGTTTTTTTTTTTCTCTTCATTTAAGTCCATTTTATTGCGTACCATAATAAACAGGATTTATAAGTTCTGATGCTATCTCCCTCTTGTTCTTTGCTACATTAAAAAAATTAATTTTATTGTCAAAGTGATCTACAGAGGGGTTACAGTTACATAAGTAAGGTAGTGAGTACATTTGTTGTTGAACTTGTTATCCCCTCCCTCATTTTTCTCCCACTTTCCCTCCCCCCAGACCCCCCCAATTTGTACAGGTCATTATAGTTCATTTTCAACATAGTGTTTACTGAGTACCACTTAACAGCTGAAATCTGAAGGAGCAGTGCCTTTGTTTCTGAGCATGAAGTCCTGTTTAATGACAAGGGAAAAAAAATCAGCAATCATGTAAAATGACTGCCCAGATTTTCCTCACCCCAAGCCAGAGACTCTTTATCTCCTATGAACCACCAAAAAATGGGAAGTAGAGGTGGGGCTCATGTGGCGGACGACCAGCCTTGAGCAAAAAGCCTCAGGGACAACGCCTAGGCTCTGAGTTTGAGCCCCAGTACCAGCACAAAAGAGAGAGAAAGAGAGGGATGAGGGGATGATGCTGATAAAGCACATACACCAAGAAAGGCCATTCGGGATCTTAACCTAGAAAAGCACTTTCTAGGTTGCTGTGGCTTCAGACTCTATGGATAACAATGAGAGGTCGGCCTGTGGGTGCCCTGTGTTCTCACTGAACTGGAAGAGAGGCAGGTGGGCACTGGATGACACAGTAGACAACAGTGAACACTTCATGTCCTCTCTTAGTTCTGAGGTCAGCCACTAGATCCAAAAGAAGACAGAGGAGCCATGCCTGTGGGGGGTGATGCAGGGACTGGGATAAAACTTGAAATCTCCTATGGAAGGGAAAAGTTGCTGTCAGCCCCCCAGCTCTTTGCTTTCCTGTCTCCCCTTCTTCCCGCCCCCCCCTTCCACAACTTCTTTCCTTTTGTGCAGTTCTATAAGGGTACAAAGGTCAGTACATGGCCTGGAGTGGAAGATGCTAGGGCTTGCTCTCCCTTGAAGAACTTTTCCTGGCTACTTCCCCCCTTCTGTCTGGAGGAACAAATGAGGGATTGAATCTTCTTCTCTTTGTCTGCCCTGGTCAGGCAGGGAAGAGCAGCAGGTTCAGGCCATCTGTAGGAAGGGCCACCTGAAGCCACACCTGTCCAGGAAGCTGGAGTTGAATGGGGACAGGGTGTGAGGGGGCATTTGTAATATCCTGTGTCGACCTGCCTGCTGAGGTTCCACTTTCAGCTGCACTTAAGAAAGGAATGTGCTCGGCAGGGCAGCAGGTGGGAAGACACAAAGGCCCCTTGTCTGAGCTTGTGCCCACACGTGGCTTCCCCCCAGAAGGCACCTCCCCAGAGACCTGCCACAAAGCATTGTTGGCCTGGTCCCCTGGGCAGTGTGAGGGGTATGGCCGAAAAGGAGGTGAGGCAAGAGGTTTGCAAGGGGGGAGGGTGCAAAGGCACAGAGGACACCCAGCCTCCTCCTTCCTGACCATCTTGCCTTTTTGAATATGCCGCACTGATGGGGCTGGGAAGGATCGGTTCTCTCTGCCTGACTCGGATGAAAAGATGCATTGTGTGGTCCCAGAGTCTGGTTGCCAGCCAGGAATCAGTCCTCTAAAAAGGAGGAGAGGAGAAATGCAAAAAGCCAGGGGAGAAGGCCCTGAGAGATAGCGGGAGGAAGGAGGGAGTGAGGGAGGCCAGGCTGTAGCAGGTCATAGCTGCTCGAGACCTGGGTTTCTGTGGTTCCTGGGTCCACAGGTGTGGGGCCCCTGAGGGAAGAAGTAGGGGAGGAGGGGCCTACTGCTATCTTCCCCAGATGTATGTGTTTGGGGAGGGGAGGAGGGTCAGAACTTCAGACTATTTACTTAATCCCTTGGAATGTCTTTTCCTCGCTCCGTTCTTTGGGCCCCTTGTGTTTAACGGACTTCTTTATAGGCACATGTGTGGTAATTAACACGTGCCATGTAGGTCCTGCGCCATGTGTGTGAGTTTCAAATATCCATTGATCCTGGGCAATCTCATCCTGGCCACCCCTCCCCTTCTCTGGCCATAGCCCTTGAAGAAAGATGGAAAGGAGGGGGGTGTCAGGGTGGGGGTACACACGTGCATGCACATGTGTATTACTGATGGCACTGAGAAATATCTAAAGACAGGAAGAGGGCCCCAGGCAGCAACTTTTGTTGTGAACCTCTGCCACTAAAACAGCTGAGGGCTGCAGGAGTTGATAGATGGAGACTAATTTGGGGTTTGCACTGCAGCAGTCCTAATGAAAGTAGCTGGGTAATGGACTGTGTTTAGAGGTTATTGACTTGGCATCTTCATTTGGCTGTGCTAAGGCCTGAGGATTTTCTTGAGCTGCTTCTTTCTGGGGTCTTGAGTCTAAGGAGTATAGCTGAGCTTCCTGGATAACTATGCTATAGTATGTGCGTGTGTGTGTGTGTATGTACACGTACACGTACACACACACACACACACACACACACACTCTCCCCAGACCTCTATTGGTTCTCATCTGGCTTCCAGGCTGAAGGTAGGCCTGCCCTTCATGGCTTCCCATCCTATTAGGGGCTGGCGGTTGTGGTGGTAAAAAGTAATAAAT